AGTAAGCAGCTGTAAATCCATTTCAGGAACACTCAGCAAAATGAAAATACTGAATGCCATGGGGAATAATGGTTAGCAGAGGCAAAATATAGTAATTGCAACTTGCCATTTTGTGTCTGTAATTATTTACAAAGTTTTAAAAGGTGAAAAAAAATACCCAAATTCTTTAAATTCTTTTCTAATTAGCCTTTGCTAACTATTCTGTTTTAATGCAGAGTGAAGTTACAATGCTCTAGCACTAGGGGTCAGTATTGTGTAGTAGACCAGCAATTACTAATTCAGTTTTTAAAAGGCACTTCCTACTAAATACGCAATACATTAATTTATAGCACTTTACATGAACAAATATTTTTCAAAGTTTTATTTTTAAATTATGAGTAAGTCTATATGTGTATCTGTAAACATGAGCACAGATGTTAGGCAGCCAGGATAGAGTGCAGATCTCCTGAACAGGAATTTCAACATGGATGCTGAGAACTGAAACTTGGGCCCTCTGCAAGAAAACAGGTGCTCCTTACCAGGGAGCCATCTCTCTAGCTCCAGTGGACAGATTTAAGTTAGATTTAGGTGATAAAGCCAAAGAGCAGCTACATAATGTGTTTATTTTATGATAAATAAAGAAAAGCCCTGTAAGGGTCAAGCAGTAAGCCCATAATCTCCCGGTACCTAGCACATGAAGCCTAAGGCAGCACAATGTCTCTTGCTACCCTGACTGCATTAGTTAGATTTAGCTACACAGAATGTAAATCTGATTGTTGTGTCTCAGCCACTAGCAAGTAGGCGTGGTCCAGTGATTCAAAAACCTAATGCCTGTTTTTGCTTTTTTCATTTTATAAGGTATACTGCATGCATATACATATATACATGTATATGTATATGTATGCAGCCCCACAATATAATCTTGTACTTTTTGGTTTTTAATATATTTATTATTTCAGTTATTTCATACACACATACAATGTTTTTATTTTTAATTATAACAGCTGTAAGAAACTAATAATACAAATTTGAGGATGACACTATACTGACCACAATGCATGGTCATAGTTTTCAGTACTGGCAATGTGGACACTGTCATCTTAGAGAATTGTGATGCCATAATATTTGTCCGAGTTGATGGAAATAAACCATTAAAGAATGACAAATCCTTGCACGAAATCAGCAATATACTCTTCCTCCACAGCAATAATAACTTGTGCTGTCATGGCAACACGAGACCACTGCCCATACATTAGAAGACCAAAGGCAGCCTCACCGAGTGGGTAACTGCAGTGTACTATCCTCCCTGCATAATACAACAGATTTGGCAAGAACAACTGTACAGCTTTCCATCAGAGTCAGCTTAAGAAACCCAGGCCTCACCTCCCATTCATCATCAAAGAAACACAAGACACCTTGCTGGGCAATGTTTCTACCTAACAGTATTTCCAACAGATTTTTGTTTTGTTTTGTTTTAAAGAAAGCTGTGTTTTACCACATACTATCAGTATCAACCATAAAATCCTCACCGTAGTCAGTGAAGTACAAGGGTGGAGACAGACTTCAATTACTCACATCCTACAATAATGGTTAAGTACTCTAGACAAATGGTTCAGTACCACTTCCTCTCCAAGGTGCTCATGCATACTTCATACCTGTATATTCAGAGAATGGCTTATGAATAACTCCTAGCACAGGTTTGCCATTCACAGCTACACACACCATGGTAGTGACATACTTTCGAAGATCCTCTAGGAGAAAACACAAAGGCACGGTTATTAAAATACCGTGTTTAATTTCAGTACACAATAGAATACTCACTTCATCAGAATTCAGATTTGTGAAATACCTTTTAAAGGCAAAACTGCCCTAAACAGGATGAGAGCTGCTAGTAGTTATGAGAGCTGGTTACTTGGGTTATTCACTCAGTCCATCATTTTAGTAACTCCATTTCTTGTGGCAAATTAAAGTCAAACTTAGTTTCCTAATCTGTGTAGTACAGATAACAATTATCCATCTTTACATATAAATTAAAGTAACTTCTAATTTTATAATCAAATTAAAAAATCAAGTTGGAACTTTCAAATAGTCTTGTACAAAAGGATATGCTCATTCATTATTACTATGTATGCAGGCCAATTTGTTTCAGAAAACTTTTTGCAAACAAGCTCGACATTCTGTTTTTACTATTTACGCATATAAATCAGTTTTGCAACTTTAGCTATTAAATATATATGCCTGTGTTCTCTCTTCTTAACAGTTATAATCTATGGAGTACATATTATGGTTCAAGTTGACTACACAGAATGCCAAAGTGAAAAAGCAGAGACTCACATACTCTGGGGGTCCCGCCTTAAAAGTGGGACAGAAGGATAAAGTAGGAATTAGATAACACTGTGTAAGAAAGAGCTGGAGAAAGGACCACAGAAATGGAACCTGAGCTGGGCAAGAAGAATAAGAGAGAGAGAGAGAGAGAGAGAGAGAGAGAGAGAGAGAGAGAGAGTGTGTGTATGTATGTGCGCGCTTGCTCTCTCGTGTTTGGGGATTGATGGGGATAATCTTGTTTTGCTACTTTTCACTTTCTGGCTCCATAAAATTTACTACTTTGAATTCTTATGTCAGATCTGTATATAATAAAACCTGAATTCTCAACATCCAAAGTAAATATTATATTGTGGCTATCACTCTTCCTTAGTACTATGTGTCTAGCAGTATGCTGGTGCCACTGAACGAGCTAATGCTATTAGAGGAATATCTATGGTATGGGAAACAAGAGTGAGAATCATCCATCCAGTCTAAATGGTTCATAAACACCTTAGTGACCTAGCCTGTTTGTCTGGAAATCTAATTGGATTCTTAAAATCTAACTGGAAAAGTTCTTAGATTTGTAAAGTATCTGCTACCAAGTATACACTATCTGCCTTGGTCTTCCTTCTCCAGTGTAAAATGACAGTCTAATATTTGATACTCACCCGTATATTCCTGGGTAGCATCAAGTGGGTCAATCCAGACAGTGACACTTTCTGCAGGTACCTCCTTAGGAGCAGCTATTTCCTTCAGGATGTCCTCAGGGATCTTACGATTCCATACAATGACCTCCTTGTCAGATGCATCCACATGCTCCTCAGTATTTATCTACAGGGCAAACAGTTGGTGTTACACAGGAGAAAGTCATTAGTATTTAATAAATTTCAAAAAATGCATCTCAGATAACTCACATAAATTCTTACTAATGAAAGTCTTAAAATACCTCAAGGAATTCAATGTAAAATTTTAAAAAAGCATCATATAAAAAATTGCAGTGACATTTTATCTTGAAATACTTTCTAATCTAAGTTTAGTGTTTCGTTTAATGATGACTGAGGACTCCAAATACAGACAGGGTTCTCATATAAACTGAGAAATATAAATATCAAAGAAGTGAGTCCTCAAAGCTAAACCAAGAGCAAAAGTCCGAGTGTCCAAAGTTGTGGCTATCTACAGTCCAGGGCTGGGGAGGCTGATGGGGAGGAGTATGCCGCAGGCCTACTCCTACATTATGGGCTCATTTTTTTTTTTTTATTTATTGTATTTATTGTATTTTATTTATTGCATTTATTTTTATTTATTTTATTTATTGTATTTATTTTATTTATTGTATTTATTTTTTTTTCATTTATTTTACATAATGACCACAGTTTCCCTCCCTCCTCTCCTTCTGTTCCATAACCCCCCACTCCTATCTCCCCCCCCTCCTTATCCACTCCTCTGTCTCCATTCAAAAAGGGGAAGGCCTCCCATGGGCTTTACTGTGCATCAAGGTGAGGTAGGACAGAGCTCCTCTCTCTGCATCAAGGCTGGACAATGCAAGCTTCTAAGAGATAAAGGGTTCCAAGAGTAGGCAAAAGAATCACAGACAGGGCTGGAGAGATGGCACATCAGTTTAGAGCAATGGCTACTCTTCCAGAGGTTCTAAGTTCCCAGTAACCATGTAGTGGCTCACAACCATCTATAGTGATATCTGATGTCCTCTTCTGGCATAAAGTCATACATGCAGATAGAGATCTCACATGAAATAAATAAATCCCCACTCCTGTTAGGTGTCCCATAAGAACATCAATCTACACAACCACAGCATATATACAGAGGACCTAGTGCAGACCTACACAGACTTGTAAATGTCACTTAATTTCTGTAAGTCCTTATGAGCCCTGCTTAGTTGATTCTGTGGGTGTGTTCTCCTGGTGTCCTCCACCCCTCTACAATGCTTCCCTTCTTCTGCAGGGTTCCCCAAGCCTCACCTAATGTTTGGCTGTGGGTCTCTACATCTGCTCCCATGAGCTCCTAGATGAATACTGATGACAATTGGGCTAGGCACTGATCTACAAGTGTAACAGATATATCCAGTAGTATTTGGTTCTATCCTCAGTCTCTGGGCTATCCAGTCCTGGGTTCTGGTCCTGGTCCTGGCCCTCCAGGCAGTGTCAGGAGACAGACATAGTTAGTCACCAGGGAAATACAAGTCAAAATGACTTTGAGATTCCATTTTATACCTGTCAGAATGGCTAAGATCAGAAACACAAAGTAACAGCTCATGCTGGCAAGGATGTGGAGCAAAGGGAACATTCACCTATTGTTGCTGGGAGTGCCAACTTACACAGTCACTATGGAAATCAATATGGCAGTCTACCTCAAGACCCAGCTATACCACTTCTGTGTACATACCCAAAGGATGCTCCATCCTACCACAAGGGCACTTGATCAACTATGTTCATAGCAGCCTGATTCATAAGGGAAACAGTTTCCATTCTTAATAACCTGCCATTTTGTTAAATCAAATCATGCCATTCCTAATATAAAAAACCCTCCCAATAATTAATTTTCAGCATGTAGAGATTAAATCTTGACTTCTCACATCTACAAGGTAAATCCTAAATGATCTAATGATAACACTACGAAAAGACTGTCTCTCCATTTGCATATTTATGCATGTACTCAAAATGTTACCATCTTCTTCTCACAGGAGTCTTTATATTTGCTGTACTCTTCTAATACAAACTCTCTCCACATTACTTACAATGGTCTACTGATCTCAATTCAAATGAAACTATCTCAGTCTGACTTTCCCCCACTACTATAAAGATGCCTAATACACTCTTCCCAAATAAGATGTTTTCCTCTTCAAAGCCCTCCTAAGTTCCCCAAATAACCTTGTTTGCTTGCATGTTAACATATGCATCTTGCATAGCTGAGGCATAAATATTCTCTTGCAAAACCCCCATAAATACCTGTACTATAAACCAAAATTAACCACTCAACTAACATTCCTTAATTGAATATACTATTTTTAGCCTATGGTGGCTGTTTTTCTTGTTTCATTTATTCTCCCACACCCCTCTTCTGTGTTAGCAATTCTGTATCCTTAATACTCAATTTCTTTGTCCATGGACTTCAACAGGTAGCCAAGTATAAGAAAATCACAAAAAGCCTATGACTTCCTACAGACAATATTACTACTCACCAATAAATGTGTATCTTAATATTAACTAATACTCTAAACAGTCTTATATATATGATTCAATTTAATTTCATTCTCTTTCTCTAAAACCCAACATGGAAGAGCAATTGAAGGGAAAAATTTAAAGTGCATTGAGAGGTAGGAGTAATATAAGATGCATAAAAAATAATACAGCAAATTGAAAGATGCAGATCTGAAGAGACAAAAATCTTAAGGCAAGTATAAACCATTATAGAATATAATTTTACACATAACATCTCACATCCATGTAACATGATAGGGTGCCCAGAGTTATGTGATATATGAGGCAGCTATGAAATAGAAGAGGTGATCTATGGAAATGTTAATTAGTGCAGCTGCATCAGGGATGAGCACTCTTTTATTGAATATAAAGGTTAAGTCAGTACACTGCATGTACTTGTATGTCTATGTAACACATATCTACACATATATACCGGTATTTAGACTAGTCTTCTAACTTGGACTCCAGAAGGGTGAAATAACCATTCTTCATCAGTAATACAAAAGTTCAAGGCCCCAAACACAACTAATGCTGTTATGAAAATTCAGTTAATTTGGGGCTTTGGGCCTTTAGAAGAATCAACCATGTAGTGTGTTTATCTACAACAATTATATAATTAACATGGTTTTAGACACACTATCTCACACACAATTTTGTATATAATGGAAGATAGGATATCCAGATTTTTGACTAGACATCATTTCTGGGTGTGGCTTGAGTGTTTGGTGGTAAAATTAGCATTGAAAAGAGCAAGTGTAGTAAAGTCACTCTTCAGCTTTGTATTAATGGATCTTAACTCAATCCTGTGAAAACCTGAAGAAACAAAAGGTAAAGCAAAGGGGAATGTGCTCTTTCAGCATGGCTGCTGGAGCTGAGACAGGGATCTTTTCTGTCCTCTGACAAGGACTTACACTATTACTACTGGGTCCATGGGTTCTTATGCCTTGAGTTTTAGCTGCACCACATCCCTAACTTTCCTAGGCCTTCAGTGTACAGGCTGAAGACTATGACTTCACAGCCTCCTAAGAGCCAGTTCCTCCTATTAAATAGCCATCAGCTATTTTTTGCTGGAGAATGGCTACTTTCAAAATGTATAAATAAACAGTCCCATACCTGTTCTATTCTACTTTCACTTTTAAAAGAACGTTTCTAACCACCTGCCATGCAACAGTTAGACCCCTTCTACTGTTTTAGATCTTAAAAACAAATACTACAAAACCCCAAACCAAACAAAACTAGGCTCTTCTCTTGGTTATTAGTCCTCAGAGGCCTAAACTTTTTTATTTTATTTTTTTTTAATTTAGGACAAGATTGTTTTACATGTCAATCCCCGTTCCCTCTCCCTGTCCTCCCCTCCCCCTTTGCCTCCCAATAACACCCTACCTATCCAATACCATTTCTGCTCCCCAGGGAGAGAGAGGCCTTCCATGGGGGAGTCCTTCAGAGTCTGTCATATCCTTTGGGATAGGGTCTAGGCCCTCCCCTGTATGTCTAGTCTGAGGGAGTATCCCTCTATGTGGAATGGGATCCCAAAGTCCATTCATATGCTAGGGATATGTACTGATCTACTACAAGAGGCCCCATAGATTTCCAAGGTCTCCTCACTGACACCCACATTCAGGGGGTGTGGATCAGTCCCATACTGTTTCCCCAGCTATCAATCTAAGGACCAAGAGTTCTCCCTTGTTCAGGTTAGCTGTTTTCTGCGGGTTTCACTAGTGTGGTCCCTCTGCTCATCACTCCTTCTCTGCAACTGGATTCCAATTCAGTTCGGTTTTTAGCTGTGGGTATCTGCTTCTACTTCCATCAGCTGCTGGATGAAGGCTCCGGGATGCTATATAAGTTAGTCGTCAAGCTCGTTATCAGGGGGAGGGCATTTAAGGTAGCCTCTCCACTGCTGCTTAGATGGCTAGTTGCTGTCATCCTTGTAGATATCTGGACATTTCCCTAGTGCCTGATTTCACTTTAAACCTATACTGGCTCCCTCTTTGATGTTATCTTTTATTTTGCTCTCCTCTATTCTTCCCTCTACACAACTTTCCTACTCCCTTATGTCCTCCTCTTCTCCCCTTCTCATTTTCCTAGTTCCCTCTCCCCATGCTCCCAATTTGCTCAAGAGACCTTGTCCCCTTCCCCTTCTCCGGGGACCATGTATGTCTCTCTTAGAGTCCTTGTTGTTTACAGCTGGGCAACAAGGAGGCCTAACTTCTTAAGACTTACCATTATTCATTGCCTCCACGTCCTGATCTGCTTATGACCTTTCCTTCTTCTACATCATGCTACCAGACACATTCACACAAAGGAAACTAATCAGCTCCACAAAGATCAACTGCCATTAAGACTTTTCAGGGATGGAAACAGAGCTGAGTATTTGAGCAATTATCTAAGTGTATAAGACTCTAAGTTCAATTCCCAGCACTACAAAAAGAGAATAGATTAACTAGAGTTCAACTTCCAGTACCCAAGTGCAGCAGCTCACAAATTCTTGTAACTCTAGCTCCAGTCTACACCTCTGGTCTCTGAGGGCACTTGTGTTCCTGTGTATAAAACAACACCCACATAAAATCTTCAAGTGCTTCTTTTAATAGAAGAGGCATTGCTTTCCCTTCATTTCTC